TTTCTTTTAGGGAGGGTTCACTTTCCCTAGTGTGGTGAATTTTCACAACTCGTAGACGCACGCACCTTAATAGGTCCAGATTTGACAGTCACAAGTATAGTGACCGCATTGAAACTTAGTAACTGCTTGTCCGATTGCAACTAGCCTGTATACAATGACAGTGTTTCCGATTACGACAAAGTTTTGTTACAAATAATTACTAGATGTATTTCTGCGTTTTCAAGGCTCAATTGCTGTTTGTTTTGAAACACCGATATCAAGTTAACTCATTACGGCGTAGACGTTCCGTTGTTTCGCAAGCTTATTCAAAAGCTCGGGGCTAAGATGTTATGTAATCTGGCGCTCCAGCCCACTCAAAAAAAATTTATTCCGGGATGTGTGTTAAGGCCATTCGTCTGAAGCGGTCTAAACCAGTGGAGTTTGCAATATACACCAATGGCGCTTTCATTTGTGAGGACCTTGCTATCCTGGAGTCTGTCCGTCTGGTTGATCGAAAGATTTTGTGCATAGGATATGAGTGAATTTGCTTACCCCCCACCTCCCAAATGTCTTCCGTATATTGACCAGGAGGAGCGGCCGCTGCTCAGACTGATCAATAACTTTTTCATGATGCTGAGATCCTAAACAAGAGGGATTTATTCTGCCGAGTCTTACTGGAGATGTGCTAAAAAAATGGCTAGTCTCCACAAATAGTCCATCATAAAAAAAGTTCGAGGGTCCCACTGCGTTCATTTCAGAGTTTCTTATCGTGCACAACTTTCCTTTTGAAACACACTGTTCTCGTCGAGCAAGTCTCCTCATATAGTGAACTTTTTCCGCATCATGTATTACAGAACATCCTGTAGCTTGTGACGACTATTTGTCCATAGGCTCTCATGACGTTCATATCCCCTGTATTTCCACCTTCCAAACTCCAACATGATTTTCAGTATTAGTCTATATCGTCAAGAACGTTCCGCTATTCATGAAAGGTACGAGCACAGGGCTGAACAACTGTTCTCTAGAAGACAGTCTCCGAACGACTTTTGACAAACGTGCTACAATAGAATTCACATGAGTTGTTCGCACAGATGGTTAGGTTGAAATTGATGATGGTGTTGCTCCCCTGTTCCTCAGCGCACGGCTATCCAATCAACAACTGTCTGTCTCATCCGAGCTACTCATCCAGCTACCGAAACTTCAACACATTGCCAGTGGAATGGCCATTCGTACTAACCTACTATAATAGTTCACTACGTCTTGTAGATGGATTGCACACCTGAAATTCTATCACACTGTATTTTTGATAACAACTTGTGTCAGCGTATACATTTTTCTGCTTGAAAGACCCCTGGTCGAGAGAATGCGAAAATGCGTAAAACCAACGAGTGAGGTTACTGACACTTTCCAAACACCAAGTAACTTATTTTGGTCATTTTCTGAACACAATTTATCCGAACGACTTAGAATTTCAGGTGCATTCCAATCGCTTCACGCTAGAACAAGCTGGCCTATTCGGTATTGTTAAAGCTGGGACATAAAGTGCACGCAGACACCACATGTGGTGTTACTGGCAACCAAGTCCACATATGCATGCGCTACATTTTGATTTTCTAAACATATTTGTAACTTGGGGCTAGTTAGCCACAGTACTACTGGTAGACTGAACAACACGGCATCATTCTGCCTGTAAAAACTTGTATGAACTTTACTAGGCCACCATATGGTTGGTGTAAAACCATTCCCCCGAGGTAACAACGCAGGTGCACTGGTCTGTTGTTTGGTATGGAAAACTGGGAAGCTAATAGCTTTCAGGCTCATGTCGGAACAGAATACAAGTTCCGTGTTTTTGGCAATTGTGACGTTGGGTTGTTCCGGCCAACTTTGCATGGGATGCCAGGACATTTTTAGGATTAAGTACGAAGAAGGGAGAAGTGAACTAGCTGAAACAAACAGGTGTGCCGCTTTCACTAAAGGATGAATGTAAGAAGTTACGGCTAGTATTTGGATTCTTACGAATTGATCAGTAGGGAACTCCCTTTGGAGATGATTTGTGCAGTGCCGTGTACTTCATTCCGGTTCGTTCAGTCCATTTAAAATAAATGGGATCTCTGTTAAAAAAGACAAATAACTATGCCTTTTACAGAAAATCTAATATTTTTTATATAAATCGAAATACGGCGATCGGAAGCCACACTGAACGACCTCATAAAGGAAAGTGAAACGGTCAAAAATAAAGATTTTTCAGATAACGCTCAGCTGTAACACTCCTCCGGTGCCTAGCTGCCATGCTACCCGAAGGAAGCACGAGGGCTGGGCTACTGCCAGGTTACCCAAGCCCAGAAGTCGAGAGACAGAGTTCGGGTTCAAACCACGGACCTTCCGGTCAGTAAATTCGCGCTCTAACCGCTTGATCCATCTGCCCCCCTCCAAAAGAATAAAGCATGCCATATTAACAACTGGGATACCCGGGCTTTAATTCCTCAGCTTTTCGGGGTTAATCGAATCGGCTTGGTCTCTACAAGTTTACGAAAGCTAAGGAAATCTAACTGGTTTTAACATTCATGTAGTTCCTCGTCCCTGTGTACTTTTTAGGTTTATCTCCTCTGTTATTTCAATTTCTTCAGGTACTCTGACCAAAATGCACTCTGGTGTAGCCGCTGAAATAGTTCTTAGGTGGTTTTCTATATTTCCTCACAAAACTGGCTTTTTTAGACTTTGGCATTTGTTTACTGCCCCGCAGTTGGAGTTTTTGGTCGCGCTTACGGTAAAATTAACGAGAAATATACGTTTTGTCCCACATTTTGATGGAAAAATGAGAGCACCAATTGACTTGGCCCAGTTGTAGCGAACATAAATTCTTCGCGGTAATGCGAAAACGTGGTGTTTTGAAAAATGGCAGAAATAGCATTTTGTGCTACAAAAATCTGACGGCATCGAGTTCCAACTATAAACAATTGAATTAGCGGTATTTTTCATTCTCCATGGTCAAGCATTGGACAAGAAAGTCTTAGCTTAGACTTCCTGATTTATGAGATACTAGGTGTTTTCGCTCGGCTATTGCCTTGGTCAAATTCTACGAGATATCTTGCATACAGTGTGGCCAAATGAGGCTATCGTTTGTGGAATCAATTTCAAACTGGGGCAATCCATACACACTAACTGTTCTGAAAAATATAGAAGTAAAAAAAACGCATGAGCCGTGGAAGGTCGTCGTATCGGAACGAATTTCCTGGAAATATTAACGGCACTATCAGAAATATGATGCAATAATCATGTGAAACGTCCTGACTGTCCACCAGGCCTGGCTATTCTTAGCTGGCCCAGTGGCTGCAGCAGTTCCTTGATCATCAGGGTAAGAGATAAAATGGAAGAAACTTGGTTATCGTAGTCAAAGTTCTACGCTTTGCCCTACTTCCTCCTGACAATGACACCGGTTTGTGCATCCCGAGAACACTCTGACAGCCGTTTTTGCAGCTATAATTATTATTCACTTGGCCGTTCACACTGTTTGCTTAACAGTTCTGTTTGGGACATCGGATGTCATGTTCGTCGCCTGCGCTAAAGGAGATCTTTCGATGTCTACCGTGTTCCTTTTAATGGCATTATAAAGATATGACGAGTATTTTACTCCCAGTCACTGTCAACCCAGCGTGTTCCTCCAGACTTCGGCTCGGCTTATGAATCATTGTACACAATAACAGTGCAGATACTGACCATTTAGGCCTGTCTGCCATCTCTATATAAACCCACCACCCGACTAAAATATTGGAATGGCTGCAAATGGCAGCACGGATGATCTGCACAACTGCCCATCTGTGGTTGTCTGGTGTCAGTTAACCGCTGGAAGCAACAGAGTTGAGGTATACTCAGACTGGGCAGGATGGTACAAGTATCATTACGAATTTAAACGCTGTCAGCTACCGAGAAACTTGAGCTGATAGTACGTGAATTTCCGAAAATCAATCACAGTACATGTAATGTTTGTACCGATCAATATGCATTCATATTTCCAAATAGGGGAAGTCGGACATGTAAAAAACCAACCTCAGTTTTTTAACTCAGTACTACGTAATTTGCAACGTAGATGACGACTAGGGTTTACACTAAATTGAAAAACAACACAGTTATCCGCAAATCGGTGTGTAAAATTACTAATGCTAACCAAACACGATGTATTTTTATAATATATTCGACAACATGAAGGTCACCAACGACTGGCGAGTCTCTGGAGGACTACACATCTCATTAAGTATCGGAAACAACCAAAATGTTCAGGGAAAATTTCTAAAGCTCCAAACACATTTGATACACTTACGGAGTTTTCAACAAACTGAAACAACACACACTTTGGGTAAGCATTGGTTTCGTAATCAGATCTACGCACCAGTTCCTTCAAGTAGATTATAGCTGAAGACGTGCTCTTAGTACGAGGTTCTGGTCTCAGATGCGAGTTTTGTGCATGTTGGCTTTAAACTTTGCAACTTCTAGGGTTTTGTCTCACGCTGGTTTGTTAAACATGCTTTGGAATGTCGAGAACCGAGCACGGAACAAGATTTCCTGGCCGACCTGTTGCGGTCAACCTGTTCCGTTTAGAACAATTCCCTCTCATTGAACGATTTTTCGGATGTCAACAACACGTGGTTCAAGGCCACTTCTAAACATAGACTGAGAGCCGGCAGCCACTGAAAGTTTCATACGCTGAATGTTTATTCAGAGAACAGTGTATATTTAAATGTGAAACCAGTGTTTTGCGTAAATATCTGTACGCGGCTGATAATAATTCGAGGGCCTGCTAATTGTCTATACCAACCAAAGAATAAAAAGCGTCTATCTCTGTTGGGAAAAGGTACTTAAGTGCCTGTAGCGAACTACTCCATAACCATACGACCAATATATATTGGTGAATTATTAATATTTTATGAAAATCGAACAATCGCGGACTTCTTTATAACCTCCTTCCACGGAACGGCAGGCTGATCTCTGATTAGAATGTCATGCTTGACTGAGGAGGTCGGGTTCTTTGTTGTGTGCTTTGTTTTGCTGATTACTTTGGTGTGTGTTATGTTTAACCTTCTGAAGGCTGTTTTGGAATTTAGTACGAGTGCGAATGCACATTTCGATCTAACTTCTACGTGAGACTTCGTTTGGAATTATTTGCCATCTTGTACTGCGGTCATCTGACCAAAGTCGGTTTAGTACTGGAATGAGCTTTTTGGAATACTCATTAAAGACCAGCGATTTCCCTAAGTTGTTTCGTAACATGTGGTGGCATGAAAGTGGATTGGGACTGTGGAAGAATACCTAGTGTGCTGTCAGACCTTTATTCCAACCTACTTTGCTCCTTACCGAGACATTGTGGTCTACACCGAGCGAAAAACTCTGCTGACGTTCAGGGAGATATCAAGTGAAACACTTAAGTTGCTCAGCGATACCTACAAAGCCGTCTGAAATAGAACTGAATAACGGGTGGTTTAGATAGCCTTTAGATGGAATATTTTTAACGATCTAGTCAACAATTTGTCTTTGAGACGTTTTGGCAACCGAAACGTGGGTTAATAACAACTTATTCGAATTTAGACAGAGGGGCAAACATTTTAAACAAAATACTAAACAGGCTTATGTAAGATTTGCCTGTATTGCTCCTAGCGAGATACTAACTAGGTATGTCCACGATATACGTGCTGTAATTGGTTGTACCGAGCTCGTCATATGTGGTTGTCTGGGACCAGATGTCACAACCTTTTCGAAATATACCGCTTTTATAGGGAAACTTATTTTTCAGTTAATTTTTGGTGTATCACTTAACGATGGATTATTTCTTGTCTCACATTACGCTATTTCAGGCATACAGCTCCCGAACGCTTGCGTTTGATTGAAAAATCGTCTTTGATGAGGCAGGGAGGCTGCCGTATTGTGGCGTATATGAAGTGACCGGCCAGAGTGCGCTGGCCTTTCCTGGTTGTGTTGATACGATTAATTCAGACTTATCTTGAGGTTGCGCTGTCAATTTGTGTCCATCTTCTTCATGCTGTGGGAACCTGTATCTGAGACTGTATCTGAGAGACAGTTCAACTTGATGAAATTGTCGGCCGGTCAAGTTTTGCGCTGTTTCAAATGCATCTACAAGACCAACTTATGTGTGAAACAATGTTTTTTGAAGTCAACGAAGCATTCCTAAGTAGCGCTACACACCGATGTTAGGCTACGCAGGTATTAGCGGTGATGAGCCTCATTAAACTCGTTCAAAGGCTCACAACTAGAATATCTGGCACGAAAAATTGCTATTCTGCCCAAAATGGCATTGCTTCCAGCTCAGCGAGATTATTCATAGATTCTGGTACCAAAAGACCCAAACCTAAGAACCTGAATAGGGCTCATAGCGTGTTATCCAATCAGAAGATTTCATTTAAAGAAACTGAAGCATCGAGCCCCTCCAGTCTGCAATATCTTGAGGCCAATTTGTTCTAAACACAATTAGGTCATACTGACTACAGGCAAGCCTATAGCACTAAACAACGCATGAGACTAGCTTATTTCGTACACACTCAGCAGAACGAATCGCGTAAGTATATTCACATTCAAGGAGTACTACTGATCGGTGCCGCGAAGCTGAGGCTTTACTCTAGTGGAATTTCGGGCAAATACAACTTACAAAACTTCGCATTGGAAGAGTGCCGTCAATTCGCCTTCTGCGGTTTGCCTTTTTATTGATGTCCATTATCAGATACTTGGATATGGTAACTGAGACATGGAAGAGACTGTCCTAATCTCCAATGATGACAAGTCAAAACATGGCCTTAAATTATTTGTCCAATATCACACGTTTTGGTTTAATAAATCCGGTCCATCGGAGAAATGTTGACATCCTCACGTTTACAGATGATTTTATTTTTTGGCTGCTGTAACCAGATAAGAAATCCGCAATTGTTGCTGCAGACTCTGGTTTGCCACGCACTTAGGAAGGCTATGTATGGTATACTCTCTTCTGTCGGACAAGGTCTGCAACATGAGAACTGAGGCAGACCGCCATATATTGTTGAGACGTTTGAGTGGATGAGTAAGTGAATAAATGATTGGTCGAATGAACAGGTAGTTGAGTAAATCCATCTGAAACGGTCACAAAAAAATCAAAACATGCCTTTTGAGAAAGCCTGGTCATCTCCAGAGGCTTACCACATTTTTATATAAAAGATGATAATCTCCATTTGGGTGACTCTTCGGGACAGTAAATGTCCTGTGGATCCTTCTCTATCCTTCGTGGTAGGATTCACGTTGATGGAGCACTCTAGTTCAGCCAGGTTGAGACTGTGCCCTCACGTTTGAAAAATGCATTTTTGACATTTGGTTATATTACGAAATCATCAGTTTCATGCCAAGTATGAGCAGCATAAATATATTATAAAATGTGGGACCAAATTTCTCAGAGAAGCGAATGGTTCAAAACATATGAGGTGTGGCCTCTTCTTTCAAAAGTAATTCGCTATTTAGTAACATTTTGTTTTCAACTATTCTTCCATCAACTGCACTTTGACTGATCACAAGCGTTTCCGGGATGTTTACCATCGTTCTGTAGTCACGGTTGTTTATGACCAAAGGTGACGGGTTACGTGTGAAGGACAAATCTAAGTACGGCGTCTACATGACAAAAGGTTCAATCCTTGTGGTAAACCCAATCAATGCCGAAGAACAAAAGAAGGCACTGAATTCCACGAAACAAAAATGAATGTACTTCGTGTCAGCGCCCAGGAGGCTGCGGTAAACATTTTAAGAAACAGCAGTTGCAAGAGAAAATCACCATGTTTCACGCGCGTAAACGACTGGATAGAAAGCACTTCGTCAGTTGTATATAAAGCATATATATCCGTCATATGAGCCACTCGATGTGGGTATTTGCGCAGCGACTAAATACTTCATCTAACCTTTTTTACTCTGAACGGCTCAAAGTCTCCTACTCCAAATCCGTCCACAAATAATCTGTATATTGCGCGGGGCCTTGAATTCTTGCTCCGAGGACAAAATCATCACAAGTTAAAGTGTGAAAGTATCATCAATACAACTCCGAATGACCTATGCTGCTTTAGTTTTCAGTCATCGAACAGTGGGAATGTTAACAATCGTACCAACGTTGATTGTATTGTGACGCTGAAGTGAGAACCATCGGGTAGCAACAAAATACAATCTGTTTACCACAACCTCGGCTGAGTGAAGTCACAGTCATTTATTGCAATATGATCCACTCTCTAACCAGGATTCGATAGAAAAACCAAAAGGAATCAAATTACCATAAAATAGAAACTCAAAAGTTTGGATGACGATATTGTCAAAGTTTATGCAATATAAATAAAAATATAACAAATAATTTATATATAATATGCATCTTTTATTACGTGTAATCTAGAAATCTATGCCACATAAATATAATAAATATAATTTACTCCCATAAATTGATGAAATTGTTTTGTTTGCGAGTACAATCACTGGAAAGGAGAATAACTAGGCGATTAGATTTAGGCAGGTTTAGGCCAAAGACGAGTGGACCGCTGGCCTGAAGCAGAAGTCGTTTCAGCTTGTCTGCAGAATCTTTATCGTTATTTCTGTAACAATCATACCCTATAAAAAAAGATGCTCAGGTTCCCTAATTTGGACTTTTAAACTCACTTCTTCCGATGTTCTGACCACATTGTCCGTCTTCACTATGAACCGGTGGCTTGCGACAGGTAGCAACCATATCATTATCAAATTAAGCTCACGATCGCAAGCATGAATTGCAACATGTGTAGCTTATCAATCGAAACAGATACCACGGTCATTTCCCACAGAAGTTCAAAAGTGAACTAGGAAAATATGTACAATTTTGATGGGGTTATTATACATGTTCCCCTTCTAGTTTTTTGCCGAACATATATCTGAAAAACATATTCATGTCGTATGTGCACTGGCACGGAAAAAAAACAGCTGACCTTCTTGGTGTGTTTAAACGTGAACCATCTTTCCTGATACCACTCTGATGATCAACCTAGTGAGGTTGACGATAACTCGGGAATGTTCAATACAAGTTTCCTCATGGCGGTGCGTGAATTTAAATGACCTGAATTCGTACTTGTATGAGTGCGGACGTACGCAACCACTTAAAGCTCAATTTTGTGTAGACATGAGACTCAACTGATTTCATCCTAAACCGTCGTTTATAATGAATACCTACACGTAAATATTAAACCGAATATTGGTATCTCAGTTAGCACAAACGGTCGTCGGTTTTTTTGATGGGCTAACCAATCGTCCGTGATTTTTAGTTTAGCAGGAAATTATCGAACACTGGGGCTTGATTTTGCCGTCAGAAAGGATTTTAGTAAAGATGTATGAAAAAGTTCAACTTTTCCACTCATTTTCCTTGATGTGACGCCAAAAATATCAAAATCGATAAACCCAAGCTTTCATTCTTGTTCATGAAAGAAAGCTCATCCTCTGTAACTGTCGAACAACTTTACAACTTGGCGGTTTCCACTGCAATTTCAAGGCAAAAAAAGAATCGACTTTCGGATTACGTCATACCAGAATAGTAAATCCTACTGCATCTAAAGTCCCAAGACTGACTTGAATTAGTGTGATTGCAGAAACTGCCCACCTTTGGAATTAAATAATAGGCAGATGGGATTAACTCAGTTTATTTTTTTAACCAACATTGATTTCGTTCCTTAAGCATTCTAATTTTGTCCAATTTTTCCTATAGAAAAGGGCCCTTTTTTGCTGGACACACGCAAATGAACTTCTTTATCCCCATCCTTACTAAGCGTCCAACGAAATGACTGAACATCTGTCGAGCGCCAGTAGACATCATGTTTGTTAACGTGCTCCAACCGCGCTTATCAGCTTTTTTGTCCTGAAGCATTTTACTCTAAAATTTGTTTTGGTGAGCCAGCACACACTTTACTCTACAGACGTGATATACTACTCATGAGAACGTCCTAAACTGGGTTCCGGATGCGTCTCTCAAAGTTGATATTCCGCTGGGTGTATTTGTCAAGAACACCACTCCATTTGTGTGATTTTCGCTGAATTCAGGTGAATTACGGTGATGCGTACCAAACCATTCCAAGCCTTGTTTTATTTTTTTTAATTGACAACTTAATCGTAAATCCACTGCGATGCAGGAGTGTGCAATGGACGAAATTTGTACATTGGGTCGCATTTGTCAATGTCTTTTGTGTAAATTTATGTTTAAATTAAACCATTTAATCAAATCGTAATGAATAATTAGAAATGAGTGTTCCAGAGAACTGTATCACCCTTCCTTCAATCGCTTTTGTCATGAAGGGTTCCGGAAATCTTTCACAGTACTTTTATCGTGTAACTAAAGTCATTCAATACCAAAAATCCAGCGGCACTATGCATCGGTTTCATCCCAAATGGGACCCAACAGGAGTGCGGATCTCACAAACCTCCAGAGTTGTCGCAACTTTCAAAGTATGGATAATAAGAGATTTGAAAGTTTTCAAATGGGTTGTTGGATTTAGTCATTCCATGCCAAAATCAGACATCTGCCTCAAAACTAAGAGTTCGTACAGTGAGAATGTATGCATTAGCTATTATCGTGTTTAGAAATACTGTGGTCAAGTTTGTTGATTCCTGGCCTCAACGAAAGCCATTTCTGTGCAAAAGATGACAAGCGACCACAGAAGCAAACAGTTGAGTTGGATTCTGGAGACTGAGATTTGTCATCCGTACTCAAAAGTGCTCCACCCATTTCCTCAAAATCTGGGAGTTGTATAAATGCATGCCACTTGTTCTGAACACAGCTCAGGGTATGCAAGTTCTTAGGAGAGAAGTATATTCTTGATTTACCGACCCCTCCGTTCACATAGATCGCTCTATTGCAAGTTACGCGAAACTTTACCGTGACTCCATGGGTCAGGAAATCTTATTCCCTTCACCTAATAAGCTAGCGAAAGAGATACTCGTCGGAGTAGATTTACCATCTTAAAAAGTCAGGAAACCTCTCCAGAAAATAAACCACCACCTACTTTACGTAGTACGGTGGTAATTCTGATTGATATGTGTCATGAGATGCAGGCCAATAATTCCAAAAGTGTAAGAAACGTTCTTAACGTTCTAAGATTCAGGTTCAAAAATCTAGTGGAATTTAGGCAAGATTCTTGCTGACGACCATACTGCAACGTGTCAGGTTCGACTGGAGCTGTTTCATCCCTCCCAATGCTGATTCTTCACCCGTTTTTTTTTTCAAAAATTGCTTTTCCTATGAACGAACGCTCAAAGAAGCGTTCTTTTGAACACCGTATTTTTATCATCCGATCCGGCGGTTTCTACGGAAGAAATGGTGGAAATCTTACGTCGCAGATCGATTTTTGAAACTTTCGAATCTATAACAAGGGCCGGCACCCAGTTAGTCGTTTTGGCCAGTCAAGACAATTACTACGTAATGCGCTATGAGTTCCCCTTTTCTGTAGACATTCAGTGTAAATTGGGCCTTCGCTCGTTCACTTGCAGCGGACGGCGACTTGATTCCCTTGCCAAAAGCACAGTGTGACATTATCAAACACTTTACTTAAGTACGTAGGCTTGTGCAGCTGATCGAAATACACCGGTCACCGGTGTGCCGGCCAACAGCCGGCAAAACAGCGATGCCAACAGCTGAACAAATCAACAGCCAATCATGTCACTCGAGCCGAGTGCACGCTGCCCTTGGTTGGACCGGCCTAATCGGACCAATTGAAGCGTTATGCACCAAGTTCAAAAAGATAACACCATCATGTCAGCCAAACAACAGAATCTACAACAAAGCGCACATTTTGTTTAAGAATCCCACTGCCATTCCGGTGAACGACGACTTTGTGCCGACCAGAGCGAAGGAGAATATCTGCACCAAGAAATAATCAAGGTGCTCCTAAAATGATGCGATTGAAGCTGCTGGCCATATTGACAAGCTTGTTTTGTGTGGTTGCTGACGAATACGGTAAGTAACTTTTCACAAACCCTTGTTTTCTTTGGAACACGGTTTTATTCCTCTACTTCCATCTAACAAACGGCATAAGCAACAACAGCCTTGCCAGTACACTTTAGCTAATTCTTTTCCACAATTACCATCACTCAGGGAGTTTTCAATGAGCAGAACGTTTTTACGGGATCACATTGGTGTTACATAATGATTCAGAAATGACTGAAACAATAATTCAAGCCGCCTTGACTTCAAAACCGTGTCCGCCGCATGGTGTGGTGGGTTGGATATCACCCGATATTGGAAAGAAGTACACTGAAAATATAGTCATAACGATAGAGAGTAGGTACACTCATGGGTGGGTCACCTTTTTGGGTTTAGCCGAATGGCATGCCTCAGTCCTTGTTTCACAAATAAGAACCAGTGGATATTGCTTGGCATTTTCATGAGTCTTGACCTACGTATGTGTTAGTGTACGATCTATTGCGTAGCTGCGATCAACATATTCACCCATTCCTAGCGAACTCAGTTCTTTCAAATCCGTGAACCACCTCAGTAATTCAGTTTGCGGAATTACAAGTGAAAGTTCGATGTCAAAAAGACTCTGGTAATATCTTTCTACCTCCATTTTATGCTATCTACGTCTGCTCGCCTTACAAGAAGGTCAGGCTTTAAGAAGTCGCTCAGTTCGACATGTTGAAATAAAATTCTATTGCTAAGTGATTTGTACCTAGTCACGGCTAGCCCCGCAACTGAGAAAACTAATTTACATTGGTCTCTTGAAGACCCTTTGATGAGCACCAGAGGAAACTAACCCACATACTGGATGGTACATTCTTTACTGTTTCTCATGACGCGCCTATTTGTAGGAACCAAAACTTTTGTGCAACAAGGTAGCCAAAAAAGTTATTTTATTGACATCATGAAACTAGGGGACAGTGGCAAAGCTGTCGTCCGAGAATCTGACGGAATCCTCGAGCAAGTTTGCAGGAGCTCACAAAAAGCCGTAGATTATCTAGTTGCGGTCGGCGTTAGTTTTACGTTGCGAAATGATGACGCCGCATCTGACCCTTTCTAACTGGCTCAGTAATCGAAAATGTCTAATTATTTAGGTAGTTGTTTGCCCCAGCAGCTTTTGTTGAGCAGGGTGAACTTCTTTCATTGAAAATATATTTCCATAATGCCACCAAAACAGTGGTTGGTTCTCATTGATTTTCAATTTTCATTCGGATAGATCTTTGGAAAAAATAGGATCTACCAAAAACATTTTATTTTCTCTACTCACACATAACAGAGCCCATTTTTAGCTTCAAGCAAGTAGCTTGTGTTGGTTTTTACACAATAATCTAGCTGGTGGACCTTTGGACTGTCGTCTAATTTTGTGCAGAAATCCGTTTTTGGCTGCACTGTTTAATTCAAGCCTTTTATCACGTTCGTTTTGCTAGCCATCAATTTTGTATTTTCGGACGCTTGGAAGTGAACCAATGGTATTTAAGCATTAATTTTTATGTGGTAGATGTAGCAACTGTCACGAACTAGTACATCAAGCCCTGTTAGGCACTGGCCAAAAAAGAACTGTGTTTTACTTTTTCGTCTTTTTCTTTTTCGTCAGCAAGAACACCTCTGCCAGGTGCAACAACAAGTTTTTCTGTGCCTACGCTCGAGCGTCCGTATCCAGTATGGTGATATTTTTAGTGCAGCCGAATAAATTCTGTGACCCTGATTAAGGGTTCTTCTGTAAATCTCATATCACCTGATTGCAACACATTACGATGTGTGCGAACCAAAGGTAGAAAATAGTGTTTAAATTTGTGCTCCTTTTCCGTTGGGGGGGAGGGGGTGGCGGAGCAAGAGATATAGTGTATGGCACACGAAACATTGTTTAATGTCTTACGACAAGATAGTAGCCTTATTTATGAGAACGTTTGCCATTAGGATTAGTTTGAAATAGCATGTTAATCACACATAAAAGTCTTCATAGATCCATTACCCTTTCTGATGATAATTTCTACAGGTGTCACCAGGTGTAACATTAATATATAAGGGATAAAAACGAGGTAAATATGTTAAATGGCACACTAGATCGGTGGCAATCAATAATGGGTTTGTTGACCAGTAGTAAACTGTTTTATATTTCTCCGCGAAATCGGTGCTTCTCTAGAGACTCTCCTGTTTGTTTCATTTACTTTACAGATAGAAATCGCTTTCAGTTCCAAACTTGAAAAACCAAACTAAAACCCAAAGTTAAGTAAAAAGGGTGTAGCTGCTAGTTGGCAATTATGACAAATTTGTGCATTTTGAATTGGAATAAGAGCTAAACGAACGATGTAAAATGACACCGCAGAATATTTTACTGTGTTTCACAAATTAATTCAGTGGCTTCAAATCGTTTAATGTTAGTTTGAAATGAAACTTCCGCCGAAATGTTCCGAAATGTTATGAAGTGCTTTTTAATTTCTAGATTAGATTCTAGACCATTGGTATACGTGCATCCATTCAGTTGGTTTCTCGAGTCCTCGTTCAGCTGTTCAGAAGCCACAAAGTTGTCCGGTATCTAACATCGATGGAAAATTTGCACCTGACTATTTAGCTTAGCCAACAAATCAACGACAGACTAAGTAACCTTGGTACTCTCTATGTCAGTCTATTCCTAGCCTATTGTCATTTAGCTTGATATGGAGAAAGTTTTCACTTCTTGTTTTGACCTCATTCATGGATATTTCGGCTACTTCACCAGATAACTATCCACATTCCGTGTGTGGTATCAACTGAAACCTCGCGGCACGTTCACCTGGCGTGCATACAGTAAGCCGTGTTGTTCACAGCGGCCCAATGAAATTGGTGACAGCTGTGCCCTAAACGATTACTGTACCAGACAAGGAGAGGATAACGCGTTGGTTGAATTGAGCCCCATGTGACAATTTCTCTAATAGAAGTGATTCTTTGCAGGCAGATTTAAAAAAAAGCAGCATTAAAAATTACCGCACTTGAGTTGGTATATTTTGAACCAACAGAATAGTTTACGTCAATTTAACACGAATGCCGTTCAGGCACCCGAGCGCGATACTGTCCCACTGTGGAAGTCACATACTAAAGGCGCTTAAAGCCTCAAGTCACTGGACAACGAAGTGGCGAATCACCTCAGAGATCCGTCGCACGTTTGTGACGCCAGTCAGCGTCCGAGGTAGTCCAATAAGCATTATTCGAGGGTTCGATTACCATTAGAGTACTTTGCCTCCTCTTTTTCACTAATATGATGTGGCTCACCAGTACAAATTAAAAACAGGGTAAGCTAATGATCCTGGCACTTCTTTTTCACCTCACACAAGCAAGTTGTTACTGTCCCATGAACCAAGAAGCTTGTAATGAAATCTAATTGCTCAGATTAAATCCAGGCCAAACTGAGATGAAGGACCCTGGGGAAGGACCTTCCAAGGAGTGTCGAAAGGGGAGAAAGCGCTCTTTAGGTGTGAATGAGTTTGTCTGTGCGTCCACCGTGCACCGCTGCAGTAGGCATAGAACATTCGTGTCTCACTTCAGACGTACAAGATTAGAATGCTTACATGACCAAGGATGTGCATCCCTGGTGATCCCTTATAAGAACGAAACTTGATTTCACTGACTCCATTCGTTTTGAGAAATACACTCATTTGCAAATCGACTTGGTTTTCACGAAAGACTCAGCTGAATCTCTAGTTTATTCAACAACTACAATTGAATATGCTGCACACTAGCCGCCTCATGTTTCAGTTGGCATGATATTCGAGATATCGCAGTGTATTTTCATAAAGGAAACTACTCACAAGGTTGCTGAAGAGTTGTTGTAGGGTTTTCAGCAACCTTGTGAGTAGCTTTCTTTGAGAAGACTCCATTCTTTGTTGTTCGACGAAATTAATGTGAACACAGACTACTCACAATCACTGCATCTGTCAATTTCCCTCAGAATTTCGCTGCGCTTTTTTTGGCTTGAGAGAACTGAAAAGGTTTTCTTGCTTAAAGTAAAAGTGTCTGGCGAAACTTCTCTTCAAAGTGGATTCGGGTATATTTGCAATAAACATGTAACTGCCCTACAGAATGTTTGGATAAAAATATTCGCCCAAAATTAAAAACCATTCCTCAATTTGAGTTTTAGACACGATTTTTTTTCACACCTGTTACATAACACTACGAGGCTTAAAATCGGCTGTGTTCCAGGTGCGTTGTTTATGAATCCCCGGAAATTTGCAGTCGGATGTCGTCAATGGGTTCCCACCGAACGCACCTTATTTACGGTAACCTCATCTATAAACCTATTTGTGTCATTTATTGTGGTTCGGTTTTGCTTAAGAACTGTTTTTTATGTGTCTTGTAAGGACCATTATTACGCATTGTACTTCTGTGTTGGTGTACACTGTAGGATGCCAGAAATTCAAGACAACCGGCGCACACACGCGTGTATATTGTGAGAAAAACAGGGTTGACAAAACGCTTTTTAAAGAAAGTGTAGAACAAATGAAATAATAAACTAAAATTCAGTTTGTCCCTCACCCCGGCAGACATTGAAGCTGATTCGTGTTCGTCTCACTCTCCGTCGGGCAAAAAGGGCTGATCAATGTATGGGAGTTGCACACAACACAAGTTACTATTCCGTCGAATATCAGAAAAAAGTGTGCACGTTGAAAAAAGCGTCTCCACTCATTATTTTGGGGTCAGGACGTCACACACAGACCAGGTTCCTAAACCGATCGACACAGTGAGGAAATTAATACCCACTCCACCGCCATTTTCCTCTCTACTTGAGCCTATCAAAGGTGCTCATGAGTGGTCTTGCAGGAGTATAAACCCTGAACGTCTCTCAACTCGAGTGTTTTATCACTATCCCACCAGCAAGCGATGGATACACCTGAGCATTCACGTTTGAATTGGTTCGGATTCCTGACGCTTCAGACGTTGATATAGTAACCGCCTGTCAATAATGAAATCAAACTGACGCACTAACGGAAAGACAAGCGACTAGATCACTTATTTTTCTTCATTAGGACTGCGGGAAAGTTCATAATTATTCCCGTAAAGGGAATTTAGGCGAAATGTACTCGAAGACTTGTAGGCATTTCTTCAGAATCCTTCCCATAATTTAAAACGAAGTACGCCCGGGATAGAACTCTATATTCCAGAAAGTATAATCATGATTGTTTTAAGTAAATGAGGGTCGGCCTTCTGCATAGACCAAATTTCTATGCAATCTTATCAAAGTCCCAGTGAAAAAAGCACTCTTTTATAGATTTTTAGGAGTGCATTCTTTCCCGAAACAATTTTCAAGATAACCGCCGTGGAAAACGGCTAGTGATGGATTGCAAAACAGACTTAATTCGTTAACATTACTGCCTGGTTACCACTATCCACCGGGTTCGTTTAACTTTACGTACTCGCTGACGGAAACCAATCCCGACGTTTCAAAGACAGGAGACTATCGGCTTCTGAAGTTGTTCATTTATTCGTCAAGGGGAAAATACGTTGCCACTGTCTCAGACCAGTGACGCACGCGACTACTATGTCCAAACTATCGATATCACAAGCTATGTGGACGCATATCTAACTCCACTAGCGAATGTGTTTGACTTGATCACGGACACGCGTTCAATGTCATACTTTGAAACACAGCCGAAATGCAGTTGTACTTTGGTGATAGCGGTGAACAAAAATCATCGTATTCGGTTTGCAGGCTTATGATGACGTGACTGTTATCGATCAAACACAACGTAGTTTGTCGTGGTAAGTGGACAGAACAGAATCGAATTCATGGGCCAAAAAGTAAGAAAGCAAGGAACAACTTGCAAAATTTGAATGATCTTCCCGGTAAAGCAGGCCACCTTCTGAGACTTACACCTGGAAACTCCTCAGTCAGGTAATCAAAAAGCACTGAATCGCGTAACGTAACTTGTTCGCCTGCAACATAAGTAATACTATGCCGTGTGCGGTTACAAGTTAATCACAGTTCTGATCTACTACCCGCATCTCAAACGCAAAACTTGTGGGATCAAAGCACCGAGGATAAATCAGACTGAAAGTACAAATCTTAGCAGATACTTTGACCTCAATTGCGGGAACAAGCCTCACTTGGAGAAAGCGCTACAAACTACGACGTTTCACGATACTCACATCAAATTAAACGTGGCAAGACGCCAAGTAACTCGCTATCTACCACCGCTAGCCACTGAAGTCATTGTAGATCCCACACTGGACAAGGGCTCAACTCAAAGACGTTGAAGAGCTATTTTCCAACACATGACTTCATTGTATGGGAGTGAAGACATACAAGTTCTTCGCTTACCAAACAATTCATAACGATGTTCACGCTCAGATATCAGTACGTCAAGGTTCTGTGGAGTGTAAAAGGGTCTATCAAAACTGGCTGATTGTCTCAGTATGCAATCGGCTAAAATGGCCTCACAAAAATATTTGGGGTTTTCCTTTGGTCACCTAAAAGGCGGAACTGAGGAATTCCGTAGGCTTAAAGTGGATCTTAGAACATGAATCATAGTCGAATTCAAACGTCCCTCGGTGACTCGGAATTTTTTCCTTGGACCTATATGCAGCTTCCCTGTTGAAATTAGGCAGGAATGAACTCTGGACGTCAAAAAAGATCTTTTCGCTGCTGAAATCGGATGATAGAGAACGAGTGCACATATGATGAGTCGGTGACCACGCACGTTTCAGTGAACAAGTGCTTACAAAGAGTGACCTGGGACAATAACCTATTGGAGAGGTAAAAGATGTCTTCTGTAGCTCCATCTGGCTCAGTAGCGATTGAAACTGGACACAGTTTGAATTCCCGGTGAAAGCGTATCCCCACTTTTGCATTAGATCGTATTTGTTTGGTGAGGAATATGCAGTCAGGTGGCACAGAGGGAAAGCTCACATTAATATGGGTCGGAAAAATCAATTCTTGGGGGCCTGTAAACAAAAACTAAGAGCTTTCTGGCATAAAACGAGTGTGACCTGTTCCCCAAAGAGGTAGTTAAATGGACTAAAAGTGATCATATATATATTCAGACCTCTGGTTTGTGTGCATTTAAAATGCAATTGGAACGTCTTTACATTTCAGCAAGCAGCATACTTCACTATACATTATTATGGATTTCGCAGATATCGTACATACATTGATCGCACCCTGTTCAATTTTTCCTGTTAGCTATCCCACATTTTCACGAATGGTTTGGGTTCAAACAGACACGCGAAAGTGATCTTCGCAGTCCAAAATAGCTGCTTGCCTACTGGGTACATTTATTCTATTGTACGTTGTCCAAACAGTGTTATATCTGCTGGGTTGTTCTCCATCCTGGGTCGCACCCCCAAAAGTGACCATTTGTGTAAACCCCCTTTTGCTAGGCGCTTGAGGTTTCTTTTGATATTTGAAGCCTTTCCAATGGAGACGACTGATTCGTCCTAAAAAAGCGGGCTTTTTAGTCTATGTTAAGTTTACTGATGGGACAACCATGTACCGCAATTTTTGTGCATAGATTTAAGATCAAACAGCACTTCATCGTAGACTACGCCGATTTTCCATTAGAGGGCAATAAAGTGAATGAAGTTGTTCCCACCTAATGATGAAAAATGTCAAAAACAATAGCTGTAACCAACTTCTTTACTAGCGATCGTCACTGTGCGAGCAACTAGGATTCTGGTGATCGGAACTCCCCTGCTAGAACTTCCGGATTAAATAGTTTGAAAATGCTGGCATAAAGTAAAGTGTGGAGCTTGGAATAGGACACTGATGATTGAGAAAGACCAGTTTGGAGGTCGCAATTTCGAAGCAATCATAGTTGACTGGCTCCAGAAACTAGAGCGTGTGAATGAGTAGACTCATAGCGATATGAAATCTTACTTACCAACGAAACTAGCTACCTCATCACCAAACGAACGCACAGAGTGATCATTTGTTATTACGCCCGTCTCCCGAATAACGGCGCTTTCAAGGGATTTCACAAGTTTGAATAAAAAGCAGGTTCACTGGAAAGTCGGCATTCCTCTGGCTACTAAATTTCTGTGCAATTTAGAAGGTTACATCTTCCCACAACAACCACGGTTTGGTTTGATGAACTGTGTTCAGTTCTTTGCGTCGAGCTATACTTTCCTTGACTGTCATCTGTCAAAAACAANACAAAGTTGAATAAAAAGCAGGATCAATGGAAAGTCGGCAGTCCTATGGCTGCTAAATTTCTGTGCAATTTAGAAGGTTACATCTTCCCACAACAACCACGGTTTGCTTTGATGAACTGTGTTCAGTTCTTTGCGTCGAGCTATACTTTCCTTGACTGTCATCTGTCAAAAACAAGACCTGGTACGAACAGAATGAAGGTAAACAACCACCAAGTCTTGCTTAGTATGCGCTGATATTACCCCATGACTGACCCATTCAGGTCATTCACAAGGCATGGCGAAATTTCAAAGCGAAAAACTGATCTCTGGATGCAGCAGCGATGTGCGTACATTCACATAAACGCTCAGTATCAGTGTTGCGCATCGATTAGCAGGCGCATCTGAAACAAAACGAGATATTACATACAGCCCTGTTAAGCCATTGAGAAGCGTGTTGGTAATCGCCAGTCAATTTACCAGTCCAACGTAGTGGTTCTTCTAAAGCAATGCTTCTCAACCTGGGGAAGACTCTAGTAGACCTTTGCGAATACAACAGCATCCACTAACCCCTTCTGAGGGCTCTTTCACAAAGCATAGAGCCGCACCGCTAACATTCGTTCTTCTATTTCTGTTGCTGCCGTTGATAAGTGTGACAAACTTGTGTTGCTTGACGCAGAAGACCAGTATTCGGAAAGTGGTCAGTCGTACGGATCTGCAAGCTATGTTGGCTATATGTGACAAGCGTTAACCGGTTTGCTCTTCAGCTTACAAGAACAGTACTTCGACCGTGGCATCCCGTTTTGCGCCTGTTGCGTCCTCGTGTACATCCATAGTATGCTCAACACTAACTTTACATCAGTTGTTATTGGTAACGACACTTTCCGTATTGTTCTCAATGCTTACCAATGTTTCATGTCAGGATAACCGAATGAAACTTTGAAAGGCGGCTTTTGCGGATGCAACAGCGAGATTAGGGTAGATTTTACAGAGGATCTTACGAAAGAAATATAAGAAAATGATAAAAACCAGAGAATTCAAGTGAAGCAGTTCGGAGTAATTTGGGTCTTCCAAGGTACTTGAGAGATCTGTCAGCGTTCTCAAGACAACAGGTTTCTGCTTAATCTCTGAACATACAAATTTTAAATAATAAGGGTGTGCACCTCAAGTGGTCTCCGGAAAACAATCTAATAAACTGTTGAAGCGTAGGTAAAACTGTTAACTCCATCCCGATAAGCAAAATTAGTTTTAAAGCAGCATATTTCGTTGATGTGTAGGGGACACTGTAGTTATATCCTGTATGCGGTTTTGACAACCAGATATTGATGTCGTAATGAACTTTTTTTGCAAACCGAATGTCCAACTGTTTTCAGCCATATGAATGTGTCCGGTGTTTACTTTTCGAACGCTCACAGCCGTTTGGTAAGCAAGGGTTGAGTTTTCTCTATCACATACTCAATTGAGCATCCAGTCGCTTTTTTAAAACAGGTACATCGTTTTTATTGTTTTTACCTTTGCTTTCATTGAATCGATTGTTATCAGAGTATATTTGAGTTCCCACTGCACATGTCAAGCAACCAGCTAGGAAATTCCCAACTGCTGTTTTGTCAAGCAACCAGCTAGGAAAGTTCCAAACTGCTGTTTAAAAAAAACTCAGGAAAGCCCGTCCGGTCAACCACATTCCTACGGAGATCCCGTGAGTAATATCTAGGTGTGAGAAAAGAATATTCTATCCAAATATGGAAGAAGGGAATGTTTTTCTAAAGGTGGCTTATACACTGTTCTATACATCAAATCGTGACAAAGTTAACTCATCATTAAAGAAATGAAACAGTTGACTGGATTCGTACTGGAAAAACCCTTGATTAAAGTTGAATCAAACGTGGAGGACCCCAATTAATAGTGAGGCTAATGCATTTATCATACTGTCAGGTCTACAGCCCCTTTCCTTCACACTTTTTTCTAAACAGAGGAGGATCTCTCCGTCGCTGGCTATCATCCAGACGCTCCTCCAACCATAATCCTCACCCCCGGCACCCCTGGTCCGCTAGACGTAAGCGAGGGTTCAGATCTGGTTTCACGTTGTTCAGTGTTGGAAAACGAACCGTTCACATTCAAATGGATCCGGCGACTACCTGATGGTTCGACTCAAGTACTATCACAGAACTTTATGCTCAGTTTGTATCAAGTGACCCATCAGGATATCGAATACCCGATCTACTGTCAAGCCACACGATCAGCTGATGGACAGATATTTGAGGAGCTGCTTGACATCCGAGTTGGTGAGTTGGTCCTCCGTCTTTATATCAATGGTAAAATGCTCTAATACCGATTAGTCCGTGTGGCTTTTCAGCATTTTACACTATTCTTATCCATGAAAAAGATCTACCTTTGTATCTCCGTGTAGGATTTGACGAATAAGAGTGTCCAATTCTTTCCCGTTAGCGCTTAGTCTTGAGTTTGAGGTTACTTTTGTTTAAGCATGCAGCCATCCGCATGTAGATTACCCCACAAAGGTGAATCTGATTGTAACGAACATTTCATACATCAGTTTGCTGTGATACGGTGTTGTATATACATTCGGATTGCATCAAACCCCACAATGGGTTTCCTCACATTCTCCCTCACAGTAAATTTATCCACCTAGATTTTCACGATCTTTGGTTTCATTCATTCAGTATACATTTTCGTGTTATCATCTCATGCTTGGCTATCATTCAAGCCTCATCCTATAGCCCCGGAGTTACTACAGAATATCAACTGACGATTCGATCGCTACCCGCGGAGGATTTGTCACAAGGTCGAGTGATGCGCCAGTGTCTATTTGAAGCATCTCCGGAGTTAAATGAACAGTTTGATTTTCGTTGGCTCGATCAGAACGGGCGAGTGACAACCAACGGGGATTCGTTAATTTTACTGGTGCGTTTTGTTTTCACATACCAGCCAACATTCTAGGTCAACCAAGCAACTGTTTATGTTAGATTTTACACTCGATTCATCAGCTACATTGTTTTGGGTGTCTAGTAAACGAAATCCTAGAGTGACGACTAGGTTTTTCTCCAGCTGCTTCAACAGTTAGTGAGGTTAGAATATGTTGTGTCTTGCTGAATGTTAGTGCAACTCTGTATCGGCCCCTTGGCTTCCTGCTCCGCCCACTATGGTATATCGAAAGGCACGGTAGCTCTACACATCCCTTTATGGAGTCAAAAGAAATTATTACAATTGTATTAGTCAAAGGAAAATTATTACAACTGTATTTCACTCTGTTGTCATAGAGTGCTCCACAAGGTCGTGCTGAAAGTGTCGTGAGGGGTCGAGAGGCGTCGACTCAAACGTGATCGGTCCGGATTGGCTGGCATTCTGACCAATCAGAGCATCCCTTCGTTTGGTCCGTATTCTGCACCTGACAAGTCCTTCCAAATGATGTGATGTGCGGTTATTAGGGACGGATGGCCTCCAGACAGAATACTAGAATCATTAGGCGAATGATGTCATTTGTCGTTATTAATCAGTTTGTTGGCCAGCTTGTAAGTTGTTAAGAATTCATCGGAGACATTAGGAGGCGCTGCTTTGTGGCNTGTGCGTGCACTCAGCAGAAATAACTCACCAGCGTAGGTGCCTATTATAACGGTTTGTGACTCAAGCATTGTTACAGGACTTTAGGGCACATTGTATTTCGCTAGAAACCCGATGTTTAGTGGCAGTCATGAGACTTGTGCGCACTGTCAGGTCAATGGAGCGCTTACTTGCCCGGTTAATGATTGGCTAAAATGCCCTAAATTTTTTACTAGCGGAAGAATCTGCAGAAGCAGTCGTGCGTAAAGAGCAAACACAGCTGCCGCCAAGTCAGGATATGTGGGTCGTCAGTGTTGTTGGTCTATGACTAAAAGTTGAAAAGTTTAAAATTCAGAGAAATAGCTCCTCAGGGAACCGGAGAACTAGTCCAACCGTGTGACGATTCATTAGCGCTCTACAGGGGCATACTATAATGAGAATTCGAATAGTTTTTGAAAGCAGTAGTTTGGTAGCAATAAGAAGTATTCAACTGACACAATTCACCGTTTATACGGGTGCTAGTAATGTGTCAACAGTCCACTTTATTTCGCAGATGAGTTTAGGTCGCCAACAGTCATTTGATCTTTTTCTTCACAAACCTTGCTGTCAGTCGTTGGCCAGGTATAGGTCTTCTTCAGAGTCTTTTTTTATGGTTATCCCTATGGTACTGCAACTTCGTGAGGGTTTTCGGCTCAAGGCGCTTCTATGATAAGTCACTCATCTTAGTATTTCTCCGGTTAGATTAATCCACTGTCAAAAGTAACTGAAGAATATTACGATAGAACCCTTACCGGATGCTTCAGTTCCAACTGGCCAGACAGACGAGCACAAAGTGAGCATACTAGCTGGCCGGACTTATGTAGACTTATACGTCCTCCAATACATTTGTCACAAAACGGGTGACAAGAACGAAATGTCCCATGGCATAACTGTTCACATTCGGGTCGTTCAGTTCACTAGACAAGTACTGTCCAGGGAGCGGTGAAATTGTCAGCTGGTGCGTTTTTTCGGAATGGCTTGCATGTTGCCCCACACCTGCAGCGATAAGAGCTGACCTAATGCACTTCATCATTAGCCCACAACATATGTACCACTTTGTGGTGTTGCAGTGGTTGCGTTTTCTCGTCACTTATCTACTTCTTGCTGTATATGAAGTTATTTTTCAATGGTTATGCTGCCCAATCATTTGCCGTTTTCCACCTCATTCAATCTGTTTTGCTCCTGAGAGTACCGGTCATTGATCCAAACCGCTTCCAAAGTCACGCATTGGTACTGTACTATATATCTGCACGGCTCTCTTGCTATTCAATCATTCAAACATGCAGTTAGAGAATCTGGTCGATTTGGGAAACTACACATGTGAGGCGACCAATCGTCAAACAGGCGCAGTCTACCATGCCAAATATCACGTGACGCAAGCTTCACCCTCTGAAGAGGAAGAAACAACGTACCAAATAGGATGGCTTGGTCAGTTTCTTTTGTGTTGTCTCAAAATTTTACTTGTCCATTTATACTTGGTATATTCTGCTCATTTTCAGACAGAGAAAGCGGTGAGTCGATCTACATCATTCACTGATGATGGCGCCGACGTACTGTGAGACCGGTCGTTTATACAAAGTTTCCCATCCCCCCCTATAGTTCAGATACTCACAGGCACAGCATGGGTCCCCCGAAGGTCACGCATTCACATAATGCTACTTATTTATCAACTGATTGATTGCCCATTTATTGAAGTTTTTGCATCCAAAGAAATTATTTTGTTCCGTAAAAATTGCCAACTTTTGATGCTTTTGTCACTCGTGAGCCTGAATTAATCAGACCTAACGAGATATTCCCACATGGCTGCAAAACTGCCAAGCTGTCCAAATACCTATTTAGATTAAAGAATTAGTCAAATGATGACAATATGGGGTCGATGGTAATCACTGAGCAATTCGTGTGGATACCGAAACTGCCTGACAAACAAATGACCTTTCCATTACCACTCTCACTCGAGCACACCTCATGTGCCTTTCAGTTTATGTATTGTGGAACTTGACTACACTTCTCAGGTTTCTCGAATCGTTTTTCATTGAAGTTTGGGTTTGTGAACCATGTGAGTCAATCGAAAACGCACATTTATAGCGCTGAAAGACCCTACTTGACAGATGTGCGCCGAATAACTTACGAACCTCAAGCTCATAAGCTTGATGGACAGCAATTCCATTGCGAAGCTGAGATTAGTCTCCGATCAATACCGTTCAAACTACTATATATTTCCGCAGGATAACAGATGTCGAATTCAGGTAAACACGCCAATACGCAAACACCACTCTACCCAATGGTTCCCAAAAGTGTATATATCTTTGTGTCCAAATACTTTAAGAGCTTTTGCGTATTTTTGCTGTTTACATGCGGTTTCAGTTTAAATAACTCTCCGGAACTCGGTCGAAACATTTTACCAGCAACACCAAACATAGAGCTAGATTGTCTCGGTACACTTTTGGAGGGTTTCAACTCCTTTTCTGACCATTGGGAGCCAGAATATACTGTGACCGGGATTGAAATCGCAAGCTAAAACTTCCGGCCGGCATAGTTACACTGGTTCCTAGCTGTCCCAAATTAACAGACAACGTTTGCACCGTACATGTTCGCACAAATCTTGCCTCTGGACAGGAAAGTTCCATTCTTAGCAACTGAGGAACTATTTTTATCCAACTATAGTTAATCTGTTTCAGACTGAGATAATTCAAACAGTCGTCTGTTCATTTGCGCACAAAATTTCATGGGAAATATAACGCATTGCGAGCGAGCCCGTGCTTGTGATGTCTCTTCAGACTTAATCACCAGATATACTGAATGAAGTTCATGGCTTAACTTCACAGGTCTGAAGAAGAAAAACAATTGATGATCATGCATCTGTGGCGCACACGTTTCAGGCATTTGACCTCAAAGTGATTCCACACATTCACTTGTTAATGGCTTCCTTAGCAGCTTGCTAAATGTAGCATCTGAAGGTATTGAATTGGCGAGTGGCTAGTCATCTCTTGAAAAATTAGTGAACAAACGCTTTACAAACCTACTTTACTCCTTCTAAGCAGTGAAATTCACGACTGGAGTAAGAACTGCTGGAAGTGCCTGCTGCAAGGCCACTGTTCTCTGATATCTCCAATGAACTGGCAATCATTCAGGATTTGGAACTGAAGCAAGTGATCTCTCCCACACACTGGTTGTTAAGCGCAACCTGCTAGATGTTTACACAGATGGGGCCAATCATAAAAAACAGCAGTAAGGACACAAAAGTCGAATTTTGTAAAAAAAAGACGTTGACGCTGGGCTTTCTTGGTTCGTCTACAACATTCTTGTTTTAACAAAAGTGTGTAGTCACTGCGCGTTGCTTCGTTCTTCCTCTGATAAGTTATGCAACACGTCTGAAGGAATGCTTGCGCGAAGCCAACTCATATGAGACTAGCATAAGATCACGTTCCTCGATCTAGTATTCTCCAATTCGCCAAATGAAGCAGTAAGGCTGCACCAGGCGGTCACTCCTGAACGAGATTGGTTGTTGATTTTTGGAACATAACGAATCCAACGGAGATCTATAAATCATCGTGCTGGGTTTCGTTGAAAAATATTTCACAAGGCTGGCATTTTTCAGCTGCAAACTGAGCCTACACCTACAAATGTTATAGTACGAACTGGTCTTATGGGTTGTACAACTAACTTCACACATATGAGCGCAACACTTGGGAGCAGTTGATCACAGTTAGGTCCGCTGATGAGTCCGCGTGAGATCACAGCTTCACAAGGACTGCCGGTGATTGGTGATTAGGTAGTGGAAGATGAAGAAGTATATCAAGATTTCTCACTTCACTTTTGGTCTATCGCGAAGCCCAGCGCTTTTGGTGAACTAGTAGAGCGCGCTCAGATGACCACTCAACAATAGTACCAACAGGACGTATGACACTTTGCTTTTTTGAAAACAAAGTAGGATCGCCAACTAAGACGTTTGCGGAACATCAACTGAGCACTCATCAAAGATGCCTACGTACCAAATTTCATTGCTTGTGGTGCCGTACTAAGCGGGCAAACTTTATCAATACGATTCAATATCCATACAATCACTCGGATGTGAATAAGATCATGACAAAAAGTCTTATCAAGACCAACTGTCGCCAATAATCTTGATGTTTTAGGACGGTTTCTCACCGTAATGTTCATTAGTTCTAACAATACTTAGTGATGAACGTTTTCTTCTTGCTCCCTTCTATTCGTTTGTTTGAGAGTGAGAGATCGCCGAACAGAGTACCTGGTGAGCCAGATCAAACTGCATGATGGAAAGCTTTTCAACATTCATATGGTTTGCCATCCACCTTTTGCATGTGAACAGTGCAGTTTGTGTGTTCATCTCAGTTACAGGGATGGTGTGAAAAATATATGGAGGAGAAAGTTGTTTTACCATAATTGTCAATGATACGCAAGCACATATTTACTTGACTTTTTTCGGCATTTCCAGGTACAAAATAGGTCACAACAATCACACTTTTTGTCCCTAACCTGATAACTCCATTTTGTCTTATAGCCCAATTTTCGTCACTTCAGGAACAAAGAAATTAGACGAGTACTATTCTCGAAACATGAATGATGTCGGAAATTTTCAAATCAAACGTAAATAACGCTTTTACCATCAAAAGCGTTGGAAAGAAGACGAGGGAGTGGTTTTGCTTTGATCACTTCTGGAATCTTTAAGCCTTATCAGTTAGATGAAATCTTCCCATCATCTACTTGGACTAGACTTAAGCAAGTAGTTTCGGATGGATATACCATCTAATGAGGCGGTGGAATTTCTGTAAATCGATAACTACTATGTTTTGGAGATATTACGAATTTCGTTATATCCGGAAAACGGTTCGGTCGAGTCAAAATCCAAAACGGCTTTTGCAACCAAAACACTAACTTAGGGTTAAATGGACCAAACCTCATCGGCGCATGAGGCTCGCAAAATTCTGAGAATATAAACAGCCTTCGGTCGTTTCCTATTTTGTCTTGTTTTAGACCAGCAGTACACTGTGACTATCCGGCCACTAACAACCGAGGTCATTGTTGGCAAACCGTACGAGCTTGAGTGTGAGGTTTCCCCAAGACCAGACACCCGGTTAGGCTTTCGTTGGTATCATGGCGGAAGAGTGGTTGGGGATAACGCTGTGTTGAGGATTCCTTTTCTGGCCTATCCGGATATCGGGGCCTACATTTGCCGAGCTGAATGGACACCACGACAATCTCGAACTGGTCCGATAGCAGCCAACACCACGGTGGAGATCAATTTGGCCTTGACAAGAGAAATGGGAATCGGTAAGTCATACCAGCTGAACAGTCTGCTAGAATTATCATTCAAGGTGTATTTATGCTTCCAGATTAATTTGAACGGAGTAATCGAATGTCCACATACTTTTGATCGCAACCCATCGTATGGCTAGCTATGCAGAAAAACAATGTTAGATTGAAATATGGGTCCACAAAGACAAATAAATAATGCACGAGGAGAAAGAAGAATTCATCAGTGATGACCTGCCTCTTCTCTTCCACTATGACAACAGGTATTTGGGGCACCGGCTAATCCGCGGCGGGGCTGCGTCTGACTGTAGGAATCTTGGTTGTATGTGGGATAAGAATTCATGCTCTAATCTAGGCAGAGAGATGCAAGTAATTTTAAGCAGAGCGCTGGTCATAAACCGTCGACTATGAGTCAACGACCACTGGAGAGGAAGTCAGCGATTTGATTGTGATTTTTGAGGAACTGGTCACGCCGAGGGCCAGGAAACTAACTTGGTTTACCGGTGTGAATTCAGCTGTCACAAAACAGCTACTAAGGCGATTTTTATTCGCGTCTTAGTCTAGCGCTTACAGTTGTTTTCGGGAAGTGCCACAAAGTCCTGTTTTTTTTTAAATATGGAGAACATGTGGGATGTTTCAAATTCTACTTCCCAGTGTTAAGGGCGCTATGCATGGTCGTAGTGCTGATAAATTGATCAGTGCCCATAAGTGTGCTGATTTATTGGAAAACAATTTTTATACGAATATCAGTGGTGCACTCATAGGGACTGAACTCTTATACTGTGAAACTATGGGGAATGAGAACTTTGCCAGTTTCAGTATTCGTGGGTAGAGCAAATGATTGTGAAGAGCAGGAGATATTTTCAGGTGCTCACATATTTTGCGAGAAAACTGTTGCACTGCAAATCACTGTCATTTGTACTGTACGGACGGTGAAGTATCCGATATTATAAAGAAATATGCATACAAAGTGTGAATGAAAGTAGAATTAGGTTAGCTCATGCCCTTCCGAATGGTGCACGTACACACTGGCTATCTGAACTACGTGCTATCACAAATCGGACCTTGTCATAGTCAAATTGGACTGTCTCTTTCTGATAACTACCCAGTAAGCACGTTTGGTAACTGATGCATTCGGTTGTTCAGCATTCAGGTCGGCCGAATACCATACATTGACATAATTAGGTGAGCTAAAGCCCATCACATGACTTCTGCCATTTAGCGCAATTGTTTTCGCCATAGCGTCGATTAGGGTCAACCAATTTATGCACTGCTTGTCGATGCCAGGACGAGCGGGAAAATAACTTCATCAGAACATCGGAATCAGGCTTATGGCCATTATTGATTGTTGTTTCGCCCTCGTACCCCATCTTATGATAGGGTGACACATGTTGTCGACCTGTAGACGGCAAGCTTCACTTTGCAGTGTAGAACCGTACAACCATGAGGGAGCAATGCGCCACTAAACACTAATGATGCAACCGCTGATTGTGAAAATTACCAACTGTAGTGAACCAGTCAATCATCACCTTCACAAAAGTCTGTTCTATATGGAAAAATGTACTATCATGCTTGGCAGCTGGGACAACTGGTCAGGCATTGTCGCTTAGAATGTAACATTTGCTCCAACAGCTGTAACAGCTGATGTAAGTCGAGCAAAATATGAACGCCTCGGATATTTTTATGACTGACGTTGAATGCCTGAAATGTTGTCATGGGAAATGAGCAAGATGTGTCCTCCTATAGCTGTCGTTTACAAAACGGCAATCGTCAGATTTTAAGCGTGAGATTGATTCCGTTTTTAGCGTTACCGTGCCATAATTTATATTTTTTTGGATGTATGGGCTTCCAAAGCCATGATGTCCAACATCGTAGCACAGGAAAAATCGATCAAAAAGTTAGAGGAGGAAGCTAGATTAGTATGATGATCGTTCGATGGAAACACGGAATCCATGGCTCTCATTGTACGGTGATCCATCACGTTCAATTTGGGCTCCGTACTCCCTTTGGACCCCCAGCCATCTCCAAAATGACCACATTTGACGATTTGACTAGTACTCAACAGATTTCAGCAGTGAGCGTGTCTTTGCAATTCCAATATGACTTCATATTACTCAGTTACTGCTGGTGACTGCGAGTTTCTTTACTGTTACCATGAATTGCTTTACCGAACTTCATAAAATTACTCGGTGCGTCACGTACAGGCCTTCAGCTTTTGAAATATCGGAATGGTAGCATTCCTTTACCTTACACATTCCTTTAATACACAGACTGTAGAATTTTCTTAGTTGTATTTGCTCTTTTTAGTTAAGATCCATGGGTACGTTCGTTGCTATTTCGGAGCAGTACCATCATATCTGCCAGTTCGTCACGGTGGTTTTATGAGGGACCAGATTGTTACAAGTTTAATTTAGTGACAGATCAAGTTTATGCATTCTAGCTTATCATCAGGGGCGAAAAGCTGTCACAGCTGTCAGCCTTTGTGACAAACAGTGCATTTAAATTAGGTCCGATCGGCCCACACACACAGCTCACCACTTGCACATGTCGCCCGCCGTGATAAACCTACAGGAACAAAGGTGAAAGAGATTAACGTCACTTGGATACCGGAGAGTGCAACAAACAAGTTTGGGTTGAACAGTCGCAACTTTTAACCAATCTGAAAAAGCAAAGATCTCGCACTGAATGATAGAAAATGGATAGAGAATTGATACCTATGGCCTTAGCTACCCAGGGATGTACCAATCGGTCTGTCTACTGTCAAGATTTTCGTGGCATTTTGGCTGTGAGCACTTTGAACTTCTGATTTTTTTCCACCTCCGAGTTTTCTGCACAGAGGTGGTGCAAGGCACAGGCCGTCCCAAAAGTATATTTGTACATATGTGGCTGAGATTGACGGACTGCATTACCTGTGGTCCCACAACAAGTTTCACTGACAATCAGCTGATGTGGCGACAAACTGTCTTACGGTTACCTGATGGCGAAAACTGCAGTTGTATGCCAAGCATATTTCCCGGTGAAGTCTGGGATTCCCACTCTGAGTTTATAGAAACCAACGGGAAGACATCGGCCGAACATTAGTTGATCGACCTACCAATTTGTGGGTTTCGACCCGCACGTCAGTCAGGACAAACTACCCCGCGTGCTAAGAACGGTCCTCTACCGAACAATGGAATAACAAAAGTGCATGAGGCTTGCGTAATGGATGAGTCCAACGGAGTTGAAAGAGTTTTGATGCTGTGGGTTGCGGGACCGTAACAAAAGGCACACGGTAGATATATTCGACCAAATTGTTCGATGTTTTGACCATTGAGAATGATCTTTATCAAGTATCGTTTGGAAAGTGTATATTGGGTTGAGACGAATATCTTGCAGCGTATGACTGGGGTGATGCCCCACTGGGTCAGGGGACACAAGGAGTTCTACTCGTACAGACAGGACAATGGGCGCGCTTCGTTTGCCTTCCGCACAGGCGGGACGTGAGCGGTGATCAACTAGGAAGGCGTTTGGTACATAATAGGGATCGTCCAGTAAGTATAACATTGTACACATACCATTGAAAGGAAGAAGGCCTTCACTGCGGAGTTACTGGTTAGAAAATGCCAACTGAGCAGTTACAGACCATCGGACAGATGAGCAAAATTCTCATATGCATCTTATATATAAAAACTGAACATCCATCTTCTCTTGAACACGTCTTCCTGAACTTCCCTGAGTATTCATTGACTGTTGCTCAAATCTAAGCAAATGCCACAAAGCGACTCCACAAATTTCTCCCTTTTCAAGAGGCGTAAAGCGAATTTACAAGAGAACATACTACTCTCATGCTTTCCTCACCAGTAGTATCACCGTCACACCATCATTTCGGACCCCATGAAGTACAACTTAGTCGTTCTGTTTGAGGCAGTAAACCAACCGACACAAATCACTTCATGTTGCACAAAGACATACTTGAGCAGCGCGACGACGTGGAAAGGATATTCGAGACGTTTCAACGAAACAGTTGATAGAAGATGATGTTTCGTGCGAAGAGTTGGTTAATAATAATTGCATCGAAGATTTGGATAACTAGTCTTGAATCATCTGGCTGAGAAGAGTGAAGCGAAGTATACGCAAAATGAGCGAACGGACACGCCTCGCCGTGAACTCCAACCACCGAACTACGGCCCCATGGTGCACGTGTGACGGAGAGCAAGCGTCATCCGGTAGGGCATCCGCTTGTTGAGTGGGAATCTGTGTCAGGTCCGTGTTCGAACTCCTTAGTTTGAAATCTACCAGACGTTTTTCTACTGATCAGATAGCTCAATCCGTTTTCTGTCGAGCGATGGATGTCTGCTGAACAGAATGGTAATGTTCTTCTAATAATTAGTAACTCAGAGACTGCGAATTATAACCATGGATCATTCGTTCTCTTCTCCTCATTCATTCGCAACAAGAAGCGGCCATAACGTTTTGACGTGACAGTATGACCAACGATATTGGTCAACGTTGAAAATTAGGTCCAGAAATTCATCGGTTTCCTTCCCCTGGCTGTCAAAGGGTGAACGTCCAATGCCAACCTGTCTCAGAATAGATAAAAATAAGTTGGAGATGTGATATGAAACAGACCTTTCTCGTAAATTTTCCATATGAGTTAATAAAGATTGATAATGAAAACACGATACATCAAGTGAACAAACAAAGTACGTCGAAATTTCACAGTTTAGAGACTCTTGTCAGCTTCCGTTGCACGAGGTAATCGTGTGCCGTACAGCCTCTTAAGTACGGACGGGCGACTGGACGTGTCAGTTGAGCTAGACAAACTGGAAATGTCAGCGCCTTTTGGCCTAATGATCACATTTCTCGCTGTGGCTGGGGGTCGAAATCTAACCCCAAAAGGGTTGTTTCTCTCCCTGTAGTGGCCTGCATTCCACAAATGAGACAGGTCAACGCCGCATTCCAGTTAATACTACCGATATCTATCCAAGCAGCGTGAGCATGTGTCCGAACACGCGCAGGCAGTTGTGAACTGAGGCCTG